ATGTACTAATAAAATGAAAAAAGTACCAAAATATTAATTTTTACAAAAGATTTATTTCTCTAAATGAAGGCAGTTGCCAGAAACCAATATTTAAATTGAGACATACTCGGTCAGGAATACATTAAGCCATGAGCACTTTAGCATGGCCTCTTATTAGGATATAAAACTTGGCCTCCAGCCCCCTTCACTGAGGGGCAGAAGGAGCTTGGTGGCTTCAAATGAAAGGAACCTGAGAAATGAATGATTGTCCAGCCATTGTTAGGAAGAAACAGCTGAGATCAGCAGGAAGGCACCAGGCACTTGGCAGGAAGCTACTCGGGGTGGGCAGTGACTGGGGTGCAAAGGTTCAGGGCAAACTATGGGAGGTGTTGAAGTAGCCCACAGCTTTCCCTGGCTGTTCCCCAGGGAAGATCCTTATCTTTGCATCTGACCTTCTCATTTTAAATACACCCAGAGCAGTTGAGAGACCTGGAACATGGTCCTCACAGTGGAGTGAGTTGCGTGGGTCTGGCTGAGGATTATCAATGGGCTCTTTGGCAGCCAATGTGGTATCCCCGGGCACAGGTCCAACTGTTCCTGCCAAGAGCCATAAATCAGCAGTTTTAACCTGTTGCTGAGAAGACTGCATAGTTATTTTTCCTGTAGCCTTTAGCCCCCAGCTGAGCTCTTGGCTAATTAGGCTCTGAGGAGCCAGAAAACAGCCTGTTACTGATTGTCTTTTCTGAAAGACATGTGGCTGCATCTGAGATTTTAAGTTTTGATGTTTGCTCTCTAGTCTAAGCCTAAAGTATTCAAAATATAGCTTGAATACCTGCATTTGGGAAAAAAATACATCGCAAAGGATATGATGAGCTCATACCATGAAGAGTGAGCTCATACTTGTCCTCAAGCACTTTCAGTCCAGTTGGGATTATGCAGTGCAAATAAAGTGAATTAATTAATTTAAAAGCATTCCAAATAAATAGTAAATAGTGTACAAAATTTCTGTGGAATGAGTAATCAATTGGTAATAGAGTACACACATGGAGCTATAAAAGGGTAGGGGAGGGTTTCATGAAAGAATTATCATATTAGTGAGATTTTACAGAGTGGATAACAACAGATGGAAGAGAGAAGGATTTCACAAGCTTCTAGAGAGAATGAAGTGGTCACATACAGTGAATCAGGATCCAGAATGACTTGAGATTTCCTGATAGTTTGAAGTGAAAAACAAACATTCTTTAAAATGATAATTTCTCTAAACCACCAGCAACCTAATGGAAAACATAATAAAAATAAGATACTGTGCACAATGGTGAAAAAGTTATAAAATACATAATGATCAAGTTACTAAGAATACACAAAACCTGTATAGAGATCATCTGAGTAAATGGAGATGTAGTCCTGATGTAATGGAGATGTGGTCCTGAGTAAATGGAGATGTAGACCATGACCATAGATGGTATGACCTAATAAGAAATCCATACATTCATTTTAGTCACAATAAAATTCCAGATATGTAAAATAATTAAGATTAAAAGATCCAAGAACAGCTGGGGATTTAGCTCAGCAGCATAAGCACCTGCCTTACAAGCAGGCGGTCGTGAGTTCGATCCCCGGTATCAATAAAAAAAAAAGATCCAAGAACATATCAATCAGTAATACATGCAGATTAAAAATAAGTGGACAAAGAAAATAGATCGTGCTACCACTAATTAAGAGAAAGTAAGAACAGCGAAAACTTCAAAGCAAGGAAAGTTACCAAGGATAAAGCAGAGCATTACATAATGAAAAAGGAGTCAATTCTTCAAGAAGCTGGCACAACCGTTAGCATGCATGGTTTAACAACAATATGAGGCAAAAGTAATAGAACTGCAAAAAGAAATACATTAATTCACATTATGGTTGCAGACTTCAATAGCCTTCTATCAAAATGAACAGACTCAGCAGAAACAAACTCAGAAAATACATAGTTGAACACAATAATGCTATCAATCAAATGAATATAATTGACATCTATAGATTACTTCATCCAGCACAGCTTCTGAAGCCCACATAGAACACTCATTTAAATAGATCACATTCTGGGCCATGAAACACACCTTTAAAAATGTATAAGAATGTAAAAAGTACTTTTTAACTTTATGCAATATCTGTTCTCAGACCCAGTAAAGTTATACTACAAATTAATAGCAGAAAGACAATTGGAAGCTGGGTGTGGTGGCACATGCCTATAATTCCAGGGTCTGGGAGGCTGAGACAAAAGGATCATCATGAGTTTAACAAGGCCAGCCTAAACTACTTAGTGAGATCCTTTCTTTAAAAACCAAAAAGAAAAAGAAAAAAAAGAAAGAAAGAGATAACTGGAAAATCCCAAATACATGAAGATTAAAAACACAAATAATTCATGAGTCACCAAAGAAATCCCATAGGAGATTCAAAAGTACCTTCAAATAAACAAAAATGAAACAATAAAAATTCACGAGATGTAGCAAAAGCACTGCTTACAGGGAAATTTATAGCACTGAAAAGCACATACTCGAAAATACGAAAGTGTAAAATCAGTAATCTAAGTTTCCACCTTAGGGAAAAAAAGGGCAAATTGAATTCAAATTAGAAGAAATCATCAGAGCAGAAATCAATGAAACTGAAAATAGAAGAGCAATAGAGAAGAATCAGTGAACTCAGAAGCTGGTTCTTTGAAAAAGCTCAAAAAAGTTGAAAAGCCCCTCTCAAGTTTACTAAGAAAAAAAGAAGACATACATTACTAATATTAGAGATGAAAGTAACGGACATCATTACAGATCACATGAACTTTAACAAGATAATAAAAGAATAGTATGAGCAACTCTATACAATCAAATTTGATAACCCGAACTAATTTCTTGAAATATGTAATTTGCCAAAGCTCACACCAGAACAAAATTTCTATTTGGGTAGTACTAAGTAAATTGGAAAGATGATTAATAACCTCCAGAACAGAAAGCATCAAGCCCAGATGGGCTCACCAGTGAATTCTACCAAACATTCAGAAAGAAGTACAGTAATCTCGACGATGTCTTTCAGATGTTAGAACCAGGGGAATATTTGCTGACTCATTTATGAGGCTGGAATTACCCTAATACCAAAATAGAACAAAGATATTATAAGAAAAGACAATTATAGATCAATATCTCTCATAAACGTACATTACTATAGCTTTGTAGTTTGAATTCAGAAAGCATGAACCCATATAAATTTTAGTATTAGCTTATCCATTTCTACCAAAAATAAAGGAGATGTTGTTTTAATCATCATTGTACTGAATATGTAAATCAATTTGGATAAAAGAAGTGTCCTCTTTGCATTGTTCAAAGTTTTTTTGTCTTTAAAACTGGTTCCATCTCTTTATTTATTATAGATTTAGTTTCAGCTTTTACTTCTTGAATCATTGCTGATGGTTTGTGTGTTTCTAGGATTTTTTTCTGTTTCATCTAATGTGTTTGAGGTTATCTAACGTGTTGGCATACAGTTATTCATAGTATAATCATATAATCTTTTTCTATTGCTGTAAAGTCAGTAGTAATGTTCCCATTTTCAGCAGTAACTTGAGTTAACCCTGTTTCTTCTTGGTCAGTTGTCATAGTTACTTTTCTCAACACCCACAGGTAGAAGGAGTGGTTTTTTAAACTCACAATTTGAGACTTTTCCGTCCATACTGGGTTGGTTCCAGGGCAGTGTGGTGTGACAGACGGGCATCAAAGAGAAGAAACAGTTCCTGGTAGGCAGAAGGTACCAAAACAAGCAAGAGAAGACTACAGTTCTTCACCCTTATATCTTATCCAGGCTACTTAGGGCAACTAATACTCACACCCGTAATCCTAGTGTCCTTGAGCCTAGCATTGCACCATGGAACAGTCTCAGCATCGCACCTCTGAAAAAGCCCTACCTCTGACTGCATGAGGCTTTGCGAGGACATCCAGACATAAACCATGACATCATTCTACCTATATTTTGTCAATTTGTTGCTTTCCTCAAAGAAGCTGGGTTGTGTTGATTCTCTTAATTCCTTTCTCATTTTAATTGATTTTCTTCCTTTTCCATGTTTTAGTTTAGTCTAATTTTTTTAAGGTTGAAAGATCAGATTACTGACAAGATTTTTTGAGTCTTTCTTTAATATAAGCATTTTGGGCTATAAATTTTTCTCAATGAACTGTTTTTGCTGTATCCTATGTTTTTGTATGTTATGTTTCTATTTTTATTCATTTCTACATATTTTATAATTTTTCTTGTGATTTTTTTCTTTTACCCATTAGTTATTTAGGAATATTTTATCTAATTTGCACATATTTGTGAATTTTACAAATCTTCTGTTACTAATTTAAAATTTCATCATATGTGATCATGGAACATAGTTTGTATTACTCCAATTTTTTGAATTTCTTGAGATTTATTTTGTGAACCTGAGAAATTAGTGTGATGTGGTCAGCGTTCCATAGAACTTGAGAAGAATGTTGGATGTATAGAGTATCAATACAAGGAAAAGTGCGAATGGGACAAAATTAAGGAGTTACAAATTCCAGACTTAAAGATGGCAGAAATTAACCAGTCATAAAATGAATTCACATATAAATAGAGCTGACTGAAGTGAACTGTGAGTCCATCTATCATGAAAACCAACTTTTCACATTCAATTTTGCAAAACTCTACCAAGAAGTAGATAGATTTTTAACTTGTGTTGAGGTTTTGTTGCTACGATTATTGTTTTCTTTTGTTTCTTTCGGGTGCTGAGATTTGAACCCAGGTCCTCATGAATGCAAATGCTCTACCATTGAGCTACATCTTCAGCATTCTAAATCTTTTAAAAGAATTTTTTGTTATTATTTTCATTTTTTCCCTTCCCTTCCCTTCCCTTCCCTTCCCTTCCCTTCTCTTCCCTTCCCTTCCCTTCCCTTCTCTTCCCTTCCCTTCCCTTCCCTTCCCTTCCCTTCCCTTCCCTTCCCTTTCCTTCCATTCCCTTCCCTTCCATTCCCTGCTCTGACTATCCCTTCTCTTTTCTTTTTTAAAAGGTCATACAATGCAGATAAAATTGTGGGCTCATCAGTTCCCTGTTTGTGTTAAAATAATAGAAATAATGCTCACTCCAAGATGTCTATATCCGAATCACTATCCCAATTGTAACCTATGTATTTAGGTATATGTTACTTAATATGGCAGAGATTTTACTGTTGGCTTTGAGTTAATGATTTTGAGATAGGGAGATCATAATGTGGTGCAAAGTTTCTTATAAGAGGGTCACAGGAGAGTCAAGGAAAGAATGGAAATGTAATGAGGTAAGCAGAGGTTGAAGTGATGTGTATTTAGTGTGGATGAAGGGTTCTCCAGCTAAGGAACATAAGCAAATTCAGAAACCTGGAAAAATGGAAAGAAATTGATTTCCCATAGTCTCAATAAGGAATGAAGCTCTGTTAACACTGATTTTAGCCCGTATGACCCATCTCTGACTTTTGACCTTCAAAACTGTAAGGCGATACATTTGTGTTGTTTTAAGTTACTAAATATTTGGTAATTTGTTATAGCAGCAAGAGAAACTAACACACCTAGGAATAGATCATTTCATTTTGTAACTTGCTTTATTTCAATTGTTTAATAAAAAGTAGTGAAAGTTAAATATCTACACTCGTGTCAGATCAATTGAGTTCAAACTCCACTAAGTAGCACAATGAATTGGGTAAATTGCTTCTTTGGATTTCAAATTATACTTTTTACAAAACAGAGATTATTATGTACTATATTATAATTTCTTAGGATTATTGTAGGGGTTAAATGAGCTAATACATGTAACCTGTTAGAACACTAATGAGCACATAGTAAAACAATGCATTTTGGCTCATTGATACATGTGGTGGCATATTTCAGAAGATTCTAGAGCTAAAAAGTGGAATTTGAGAATTTTATGTTGCTGCATCTGGGCTACTATGCCAAAACCGTATTAATTGCTTAAAATCTATACAGTGGGTTTGTTGAACACTTACACTCCAACTCAATGGCTGAAAATGTTTCACAGTGCTCAGAAACCAAGCTCACCAGCAGCTGCACAGCTCCCTTGGGAGGGATTCTTTCTTTGTTCCTCTTTCAGTTTCTGAAGAGACCCTAAGAACATTTGTGCCATCTGGTTTTGGTGGTTCTTTAAGACCTGTTTCATTTCTGTTTCAAATACTTCAGGTTATGCTCCAAACTGTTGCAAAACCAACATGGGTATGCAGTTTCTGGTTTGCCGGAGAGTGACATTTTTGGTGACTTCCTCCATCCCCTACTTAAGCTGCAGCATGTGTAGGATTTTTATTTAAGAGTCCCAATTTTGAAAAGCCTCAAATTTGAAGGAGGGTGGTCATTAACAAAGATGGCATTTGGAGTGTTCCCTACAGCTACAGTATGCAAAGGTTGCACTAGAACATCAAAACTGTGTGAAGCAGGCACTTTCAAGGCCAGGGTTTTAGAGGAAGAGAAATTGCCTCATCCCAGGTCATACAGATTTATGTTTATGTTCCTTTCTAAGAGTTTTATAGCTTAAACTTAGGTCATTTGTCACTCCTAAGTTAAGTTTTATATATGATAGGAGATACAGGTTCAAACTTACTCTTCTTCTTGGTTTTTTTCATCTGGATATCGAGTTGTCACAGAGCTGTTTGTTGAGGACTATTCTTCTCCCCACTGAACTGACCACACTTGTCAGAAATCAATTGACCATGAATACAGAATTTGTTTTTGAATTCTCAATTCTGTTTAAATAATATATGTTTTTCTTCATGGAAATATCATACAATCTTGATTATTGTAGTTTTGAGCAAATTTTGAAACTGGAAACTGTGAGTTCTACTTTGTTCTCCTTTCAAGATGGGTTATTTTGGGTCTTTTGCATTTCTGTATGAATTTTAAGATCAGCTTGTCAGTTTTTGAAAATAAATACAGGCAGCTAGGAATTTTACTGGGATTGTGTTATTCTGTATATCAATTTAGGATATATCTCCCTCTTAACAATATTAAATCTCCAGTCCATGAACACAGGATATTGTTCCACTTATAGAAGCCTTTTTCATTTTAGTAATGCCCTACAGGTTTTGGTGTATACATTTTGCACTTTATTAAATTTATCTGAAGCATATATTTTAAACTATCTTGTTTATCTTTTTTGTTGTTTCTATTGTTTTTGTTTTGAGTTGGGGGTATTACTGTGTTGCTGAAGTTGGCTCCAAACATCTGGACTCAAGGGATCTTCCTGCCTCAACTTCTCAAGGAGCTGGAAGGGGGGGAACCGTGGCTGAGCAGAGAAGGAGTGGTGCTGGTGAGACTCCGAGAAGATGAGCTAGAAACAGGCAATTGGAAGAAGAGGAGGGACATCCACCCTGATCAAAGGGTCAGTGTGAAAGGGGGGACTCATAGATCAACCAAGAAGCTAGCACAGAGGTAAAGTCACTGTGTCCACTTTTACCCAAAAAAATATTTATCTGCTATTATAAGTTGAGTTATTTCCTTACTTTCACTTTCAGATTATTCCTTGTTAGTGAATAGAAATATAGTTCACATTCATACATTGATTTTGTATCCCACAACCTCGCCAAACTTATTTGTAGCATTAATGAATTTTTACAGATTCCTTAGGAGTTTCCCTATACAAAATCACTTAATCTATGAATAGTGGTGGGTTTTTAAATTTTCATTTTAGATGTTTTTATTTTTCTTGCTTAATTACACTGACAAAATCTTTCAGCATACTGTTAACCAGAAATTTTGAGGATATCTTTGTCTTAGAGGAAAAGCTTTCATTCATACACCATGAAGTATGAGGTTATCTGTGGGTTTCTTATAAATACCTTTTATTTTTATTGAATTGATAAAGTTATTTTCAAGTACTAATTTGTGTAAGTTTTTCTATTTTAAAAAGAAAATAGCACAGAAAAATTAGAAAGCAAGCAAGCAAACAAAAATCGACAACAACAAAAGCCAAAACATGACAACAACAACAATTTTGCATGCTTGTAGCTGTGACCTGAGCAACTCTTTTCACTTTTTTTTTTTTTTTGTCTTTTTCCTTTTTATCGGTACCAGGGATCGAACTCATGACTGCCCCCTTGCAAGACAGGAGCTTTATGCCGCTGAGCTAAATCCCCAGCCCCCATGAGCAACTATTTTGAAGATAGCAATATGTCATATAACTATTATTAAGTTCCCATCATCTTAGTTTGAAATCCTGTATTATTATGTTGTTTTTAATTGTGAAAGGGTATCATATCTTGTCAAATGCTTTTTCTGCATCTACTGAAATGGTCATGTGGTTTGTGGTGGATTAACTAATAGCCTGTAACACCCAGATGAATTGAAATCAGTGTGGTTCTGGATATAGAAGATTCACCTGAGGATTGTTGCCAACAGAATAAAAAGAGAACTGTAGGGGAAGATGGTGTGCTGTTGATTTCCCTGCAGAACCTTGTCACACTGGTTTTCTTGATATGAACTCAACTGTTCTCATCATCAGAGGAGCGTGAGTCCTCATCGTCACTGAGCATGGCGTGGTTCTCTTTGGAGGAGCTCTGGTCCTTACTTTAAGTGTTGCTTCCTAATTCTGGTGCAGATCCCTCAGCCTGCTGACACAGATACTTCACCCTCCTATTGCAGACTTTCCTAGCTTCCACCCACTGACTTTTGGGGCTTCCCAGGGCAGATCCTTGCTACAGACTTGCATAAGACATTGTCGTAGGTTCTAGGCCTCCAGTTGGACTTGTGGAGGATGTTGCCATGGGCTCAAGGTCTTCAGCTAGACTTGTGCAGGACATTGCCATGGAATCCAGCCCCTCAGCTGGATTCTTTGGGTCTCTAGTGTGTGGACAGATCTCGCACACACTTTTGCATTTGACTTTTTGGGTGAATATTATAAAATAATCATATAAATTATGTGCCTTGCCCTAAATACATTCCCTTGTAAACCCTAGGTACGACATGATTTTATTTTTTATTGTATTGATGTAGTTTATTACACTGAGTAATTTTCATATGCTGAATCAACCTCCTGTTTCCATCTATCATGTACAACTTGCATTTTACAATGGCTTCCATGGGTGCTGGAGCCACACAACCATAAAACTTGCCCAGATAGTGATGGCTATCCTGACTGTGTGATCACTTAATATCACTTTGCTAGATTCTCAGTTTGGATCCGAGCTCAGAAATATGCCTGAAGAGCTGCTTTGAAAATGATGTATGGGTTTAGTGGAGGCAGATTATATGACCTATTCAGAACTCTACTGAGAACTCTCAGTAATTGTCCTCTAGGAGCTTGTCAGAAGTTTCACGTGGTTTGTTTTCCTACTACCTATAACCTTAACACCATGAAATTTGCTGTGGTTCAAACATCAGGGCTGTTTATTCTACAGTCTGGACTTTGTTCCAAATTAATTATGCTCTGTCCCCACTAAGAGCTATCAATCTTCCATGTTTCTGGATTAAAAGGTTGTAGCTGTATTATAAGAAAGTAAGCTTTTCCTCATGAACTCACTAAGCATTGTGCAGCTTTCTTAGTAGTGCAAGGTACAGAGTGCTATATCTTGTTCTTTATTTTAGAGAAGATACCCTGGAGGCCCCAGATTACTGGATTTGTAAAAACATTCTGAATGTGATTGTTTTGTGATCCATTAAGGGTTGATCTTACTTTCTCTGTAGCATAAGCATTTTCTTAAATTATCTAGAGTACCTTTTAAAAAATCAGATCCAATTAACATGATCTTACCAGTACAGTGAATCCATGTGATAATCTGTGAAATGTCCAGGTAGTCCATTCCTCTTGAAATTATGTTACCACAGAGGACAGAAAAATTAACACATGGAAGAAGACTGATTGTTTACTGCTATTCATGTTGTGTTCTCTTTAGTGATAAGTATGTGAAAGGATATTATCAGTCAGACTCATAGTTGTATATTATGTGCCCAGGGCTCTGAATCTGTTCTAACAAGTACATCACATCTGGTACAGAATAACAACTAGAACTATAAGTTGGTTAAGTCTGTGGTGATAATTCACTGATATCTCCCAGGATCTATCTGGCTTTTGCAGAGGTCAGACTGGTGGATTAGGTGAGAATCATCAATGTTGTACCATCCTCTCCAGTGTTTGAAGATGGCATTAATCTGTTATTCTCCTCAGATATGTTTGGATTTCAAACTAATTAAATAAGGAAATAGAGTGCTAAGCATATATTCTATAATACTCTTCCCTCTCTATGACACTTATGCCCCCTTATAGGATCTGAGCATAACTCAGCATTCTTTGTCTCTGATTATTGACTTAGGTGCTTGCTTTTTTCCTTTCTTTTAGTTTTTCACTTTTCCCCTTCCTTCCTTCCTTCCTTCCTTCCTTCCTTCCTTCCTTCCTTCCTTCCATAAGGACCATGTACAATTGTAACACAAATATGTCTTTTAAAAACATTATCGGTTGTGGTCATCATCTCAAATGACAGGATCATGCTTGACTTTCTTCTAAGATTTTAAAATCTGTCTTTCCTGGTATCCCGAAATGGACATGTCTCACGGCACCTGATATTAGCCTTAATATTTTGGGGCTATGATTACTTTCTCATATGGTTCCATGTATTTCAACCACATCAACCACTTGGGTCTTTAATGGTCAGAAAATAAGATAAGGCTGCTAAAAATGTTATAAAGTACGAAATCACCCAAGCAAACTCAGGAAGCAGTAACATATTTTTAAAACTATTAAACTATAAATGTGTGTGGTTGACTATGGCTGCCACAGGAAGGAGTGTTCCGGTACAGTCAGGACTTTCCTAGTGTCAGTGCTCTATGGTTCTTTTAACTGTTAACCTTTTTCACTTTAACCTCTTTACTGATTTGCTCATTTCATAGAAAACCTAAGAGAAAACAATTTAAATTAGTCTCAGCCTTATTTGTACCAAGCTGATCTCACTGGGTAGCTTAACTCAATAGGAGAAAAGTTCTTGGCCTCAGTGTGAGAAATGGAAACATGAAAAGCAGTAGCATACTTACTTATAGCTATCAGATAAGAAATGATGGAAAAGTTTGTCAATATCCACTATGATCAATGTACTGGAGACCCCAGTTCACTACTGCTGAGAAGGAGGTGAGTGCCTCAGAGAGCAATTTGGCAGTTCCAACTAGAGCTGATGAGCTACATACTCTGTAACCCGGATGTGCCATTCCCTCATAGGTATTCACACACAGACCAGATAACATGTATAAGAATTTACAAGCAGCAGGGGTGTTTTGGAAGGGAGAAATTATGAATTGGTGAAATAAACTTGAAGGTCTATTAACATGCTATGGACAGAAAAAACAAATTAACTTATTTTATAGTTTGTAATTATAATTAAATTACATCTAACAACAGGGAAAAGCCTCAGAATCTTGAGTGAAAAAGAAAACTTGGGTTACTGTATTTGCTTCCAGTAAAAATTTAGCATATATTTGGTGACTTAAAATAATGAATAGATTCGGTTTTAATTCTGGAGATCAGAAGTCCAGTTACCCTGGATCAAAGTCAAAGTGTTGGAAGGGGACACTCCTCCTAGGGCTCTGGGGAGGGACCTGTTTCATGTCTCTTCATTCTCCTGGAGGCTGCCAATGTTCCTTTACTTGTGGATGCATGGTTCCCAGCTCAGCATCCTCCTCTTTGGTAAGAGTAAAATCTCTCTTCACCATCCTTTTATAAGGATATGTATGAACACCCTCGCTGTCCAGCAACACAATTCAGGATAATCTACTCATCTCCAACTACTTAGCTACTCACATCGGCAAAGACCCCATTTACCTTATTAGGTAACATTTACAGGTTCTAGGACCTGCAATCTTTGAATGGCCATTAGTCAACATACTATAACTACCTATATAGTAATTTAATTTGATGACATTTTAAAGCACTGGGATAGTTAAGGTTGATTGTGTCTACTTGATTGGCTTGGAAGCCACCTAGAGGACTGGTAGAGTACCTGCTGGATATGTCTGAGTGGGACACAGAGGTGTGGCCTTGGATATTATATATTGCCCCTGGCTCCTTCCTCTCTGGTACTACTCCCCGTTCTGCTTCTTGATTGCCATGAACTAAACAGCTTTGCTCTGCCAAATTTTTCCACCGTGATGTTCCTACTTTGGAGCCAGTTAACCATGGACTGAATTTCCTGAAACTGTGAGTTACATTAAATCTCTCCTTCTTTAAACTGTACATGTCAAGAGCTGTGCACCCATGTCAGGAAAGCTGATCAGTACAAGTATGCACTACAATAATGTGTATTTGTGCAAACTGTGAGTTGTTTGATCCCTCAAAGTTCTTCCTCTTCACTTTTCCATTCTTCCTGGCACCTCGGAGCATCCATGTAGCCATGTTTAGAG